AAAATGAGAGGGCTTTGCACAATGGCTGTGAAGTTGATAGCTAGTGCCACACAAATTAGTCTTGGCACAGGCATATTCACTTGCCTCTTTAGAGGGCTGAGGGTTCTTTTCCATAAAGACGAAACTAACATATTACTTCAAAGCCCAAATAAATACAAACTATAAGTCTGAAACTGTTATCTTCTAAACTAGGGATGTGCAAGGTTTCAAGGATAGCGTGCACCCTGTATTATTTGTTTCCAAATTAGAGTCAGGATGCCAGCAGAAACTTAAGGGAGCCAAGAGATGTTTTCTCTCTAAGAAATAATATAAAACTGATCCTCTTATCTGCAGCATTTTGCTGGGATACAAATGGTAGCTTCAAGCCAAATTTTGGTGAGTTCAGATTTTTTTGGGAGCTGGAATCATTTTCTCACAGATGGCTCTCAGAAGGAGCTGTAGTTCCCCACTCCTGGGCCAATTCTGTTCAAAAATATGTTCACATGCTATCTCTGGCCTCCACACCAGACTGCTGACTTCTGCTCCATGTCCGTATGCATGTGTAATCCCTTTGACATTCATCAGGCTGCTCATGAGTGACGATTATGCATAAAGGTATGAGCCATGTTTAAAAACACATCTGTGAACAGCAGGTCTGGAAACTGTATCTTAATATACAAGAAAAGTGCAGTTGTACTCACCACATCATCTCAGCAACTCCCTAATGTTTCAGAATCTGGTAACCTACAGAATTCAATAAACACTACTAATTGATTAAGGGTTAATCTGAAGGTATGAAAGAGTAAGCCTTATACTGGACATTTTCACCAATATCTTGAATATTAGTGACTGTGGTTACAGCTACTTCCAAATCCTTTAACAAAACTGAAGACTTGCAAAAGACATGATGTAATAGCAGGTTCCTTTGAGTCCCTTTGTTTTCTTTCACTACAGCCTCTCAGTTATAACCATCGGTCATAGCTCCACAGAACTTTTAAGATACAAAGGATGGCAGAGATGGTACCAGCAAATACTAAAACTATCTTTTGCCCTGAGAATAGAAAAACGCTGCCCCTGCATGTTTCCCTGAAAAACAGTATTTAAGAGAACTCTGACCTCCTGCCTTTAGTCAGTCCTTAACGATTTACTAAAATAAATTCAACTCCCCAAATTGTCCTAGTGGCCATTTATAAGGCAGGTAGAGACCACATACTACACGAAATTGCAATCAACAGGAAAGCCGCAAACAATGCCATAAAAACGTCCCATATATTAATCTATAAAGCAGCAGTTTAAAATCACTCCTAAAAATCAATTCACAAAATCTTTTGGGGTGGTGCAGCGGGTGGGTGGGAGTGGTGGTGTCTCACCAAAAGCAGAAATAAACGGTTGTCTGAAAAAAAACTTAAGCCTGCAAACCAGCTGCCTGGTATTCAAGCACACACATTCAAACATATACTCTTAAAAACAAAACAAAAAAACCCAAACAAACAAAAAACCCAGACATAGACCCAGACGCAGACGCAAACAGAGACACAAAAACACGGCTGTAAGGGCCTTGAAGACATGCAGCAATCTACAATATTCTCTTCCAATATCTAGACCTTTCCCAAAATGGACCATGAATTATTACCAGATGGATCTTGAACATTTAGAGAAGCTCCAAGCTAACACATTCATTTCACAGCCACTCCATTTTACAAGTAAGAGATACGGGAACATCAAAAGACACTTCTTAAAACTAATATTTTTTTAATTACTGATACTTATTCTTTTGAGCAACGAAAAGGCAGTCCAGTAGTTGGCCTGAAATCCAGTCTCCTTTTACCTCCATACTTCCTGTGTTACTTTTGGCAAGCAACTCAGGTGCATATACAATTTCAAAGGTATTTAGGTACCTAGTTCCCAGAGTCTATCAATACTTATGCATACCTAGATAAGTGATTATGGCACTTTGGAAAAAGCAGATCACAGCTCCAGCTTGAGCCTGGAGAAGAGTAATCTCTACTATAAAATTTGCACTGCGAGTTTAGCCACGTACACAGCTACAAGAGACCTTGGAAGGAGGGCTGAAAATGAGTAAGGACACTAAGCAAGAAAACATAAACACAAGGGTTTTTTTTAAAAAAAAAAAAAACAAAAACAAAAAAACAAACACATTTAACTGAAGACAAAATAAGCCAACCCTTCTTAAACCTAAGACTGAGATAGAGCACTGTTATCTCCAAATAACAAAATTCAGTTCTCTCCATGAAGTTTTTATAACCTCTGCTACACTACAGCCACTTCAACCCACGAGGTCTTAGGGCTGGAAGAAGCCTTAGTGTAGGAAATGCTCCGCTGATCGTAGCGTATTTCCCACTGCTCGTCAGGCTACAGTCAGTTCAAGCCATCAGACCTTTCTCCACAAGTCTAACTTCCAGTGTTTTCTATCTACCTGACTTTTATTCCTTCTGTAGGAAAGTCTAGGTCAGGGAGGTTCACTGGGCTCACAGCATTACCCTCAGCTGCACTTCTGCAGGTATGGATGCTGCAGAAGGACAACATTCTCCTGAAGATACATACTCACAGATTGTTCAAGAAACATACAGAAAACTAGAAAGGACGTAGTCAGTTGTTTGTGTACACACCTCAAAATACAAAAGGACAACCCCCCCACCGAAAAATATGCTGCAGAAAGACCACAAGTGCAATATAAAAGACATTCAACTGAAAACAGGTCTGAAAAGAAATACTGGATTTCACAGTTCGCAAGCATAGCTTTCCCGGTTAGAAAGCAGTTAATGAATTTCCAGAAATTCAGGATTTATCAGCGTTTTCCAGAATTCGGTAATTACTCAGCATTCTCCCTTCGTTTGGCAGCAAGGGCACGGCGGCGCTGGGCCGGGAGCCCCGCCTGGCGCCATGCGAGTCGGCCGGGCCTCACGCAACAACCCAAACTGCTTTTCAAACATCGCAGGTGGGGGGCGGGGGGTGGCGTGGAGGAGAGAACCCCAAACTGCACGGTGGAGACAGAAAGCGGGGGTCCCCGAGCCCCCCGCCCGGGGGAGGTGACACGGAGGTGTTTTTCCTCAGGCAGAGGCGGCAGCGCCGCCGGCTCCCGCCACCCCTCAGGGCGCTTCAGGCCGGCCGCGTTTCCTCCCCGCGGGGGAAAGTACCGGCGGCCGCGGGGCTCCGGTGGTTTCCGCCGGGCCGCCACCTCGGCGAGAGGCGCTGAGAGCGGACCGCCCGCGCCCCCCGCCGCACACACACACACACACACACACACCGGCAACCACCGAGGGGGAAAGCGGAGGCTCCCCGGGAGGAGAGGCCGGGGAAGGAGGGGGGTAAGCGAGGGGGTTTGCTGGGGAAGAGCGGCTGAGTGACATCTTGGCGCGCGCGCCCCTCCTCACCCGCAGCTCTTCGAAATCCGCCATTTTCTACCCACTGCTCCTGCCGCTGCCGCCGCCACCGCCGTTGCCGGACGCCGCTACTGCCGCCGCCACCACCATGGTGCACCCTTTCAGGGCTCCGGGCACGTGACGGGGGAGGGCGGTCCCGCCGGCAGGCGAGGGGGAAGGGGGAGGAGGTGCGGGGCTTCGCGGCGCCACCCGGGGCCACCCGTGAGGGGAATCTTGAGGAGAAAAAAAAAAAAAAAAATATATATATATATATATTTATATTTTTTTTTAATAGTATTCACAGACCCGCCGGTACCGGGCTGGGCCCCTCCGCCACTCTCGGGTGTCTTAGGGGCGGGGAAGGGGCAGCTCCTCAGGTGGGGACGATCGGGTGTGCGGGATCGCACCCCTCAGGGGCTGCCCCTCTCCCTGTCTCCAGAATTAACACCGCGGAGGACACACGCAGGGGTTATTATAGAATTATTATATTCGCAAAAAAAAAAAAGCGGCAAATAATACAACAGTCTTGCGATTGAAGTGTGTGAAATGGTAAGGTGGGGCTTGCGCGGCGATTTTATAGCTTTCTCAGTTTTATGCATCTAATCACAAGAGCATTCTCATAATTTGTGTTCTAATGATGATGTGGCACATTTTATTAATAAAAAATGAAGCGCAAATGTCACTGGCAGTAGGCTTCAAAACTGAATAACAGGTTTTCTGCTGTAAGGGTAATGTTGAGACATTTACAGAAGTGCAGCTGAGCATATTATTTGCAAAAGCAGCCAGAGATCATTATCTAGTCACAACAACTACCTAGACACAACATTCAGTTGCACTGGCAACTGGGCCATTAAACCAACCAACCAATTTGTTGCAATAAAAAAAAAAAAAAGCAGACCAGACTGAGCCAACAAACAGGCAAGCAGCCAAAACTACCCAAACAAGAAGAGAGACATTGGGGAAGGAAAAAAAAAAAAAAAAAGGTTGGAAAGACAAAATGTATTGACCCATGTTAACCAAAAGGCAGCATTTTTTGCACGACTGATGGATTCAGAGCAGTAACTACAACTGTAAGATCTCTCAGAATGATTACACTTCACCGGGACCTTCTTAATGGCCCAGGAGACGGCCACGTCTGCAGCAAGCTCTGCTAGGAAGAATTCTGGCAGGCAATTCTGGGAACAAAAAGCTGAGCTTTTGTAGGGGGTACTGATGCCCACTCTACACATTGGCTGTGGTCACTCAATATCAGTATGAGATATGGACACATTGGAACTCAATAATTAACATTATTAGCAGTAATTATGCAATAGCAAAACAGCTAGTCCAAGAAAAACCGTTAGTTCTAGTAAAGTTTTTAACCATCACCACAGCTAGACACTCCTATGCATAAACTCATTCTGTGCTTAGTCTTGTAACAGTCATTTCCTTGAAGATTTAAACATAAGGACTTTATCAATTCCAACCCTCTTTTGTTAGTCAAAACCAGTAATTTGCAGCCTAACAAGCGTGCTGTCTGCCACACTGCTGTGTGAGCTCAACTCCTGAGACCATCAAACATTTTTTTCCCTGCAATTCAGTGCCAGACTGAAGGGGTAAGCTGCTGGTTAGGAACTCTTAGATCTTTAAAGCACTCACCAGACCAAAGCATCCTCTCTTATTTCAGCATGGTTCTTCCTTTACGTGAGGAAAGACACCAATGTTCAACCGTACAGCAGAGCTGGGCATTTCTTTCCTCATGTACGCTCTCCTCTCACTTCATAACCACATCTCCAAACCTTCCGATTCATCTGACCCACAGTATCTGCTGGGATAGTGTAATCTGCACAAATGTTTCTTGCCAAACTCAAGGACACTTAGGACGTATTATTAGCCAGACAAATGTTTCTCATAGAACACAAGGACAGATAAGGTACATCAGTTAGGTCAGCCTGCTCTTTAAACCGCCTACAATGATTAGTAAGGAACCTGTGTCCTTGAAGAAGAGGAACATCCTGGAACTTGGAAGCTTGTTAAAATTATTTACGGTCAATCAGTTTAATTAGAGTGTCCTTTGGAAGAACTATCCTCATTCTAATGGTAAAAATCATGCTCACTGCCATGAAGACCCCTGCCCAAATAAAGACCCTCTCCCTTTGAGCAGGCACAGAAAAACTAAAACACACTGTAACTTTAAATCAAGACAAGGATGTTACTAACCAGTGAGGGATAGAAGTGACAAGTAACTATCGAATCATCCTTATACTAATTATGTAATCATGTAGTTTGAAGTGTATAAATACTCTGAATTTCTATTCTGTGGTGTGCTAGCTTTGTGGAATTACCGGCTAGCACCCATCTTTGCACAAATATGGAATAAACTGATATCTCAGCTCTATGTGTGAGACTGGCTTTTGCACACCAGGTAATGAATCCTGTTTGAGGGACAACAGCAGCATTGAAGTAATCATAATCATCAGCATTATACCTCAACAAACTCCTCCAGTGCTGTTTAACCAGCTGCTAATAGACAATATAAACTACAAGCAGTGATAGGACTGCGGAGTGGGTCTGAGATGGCTGAGTCAGAGGTATTTTTTTGTGTATGCTGAGTTTAAATTTAAAGGAAGGAACTCTGTGAGGCCTGCCTGAGGCTTCTTTATGACCTTTCCTATCCTACAGCCATTTATTTTTTAATGTAACATTAGAGAAAGTGAATGTCAAAAATGTAATGGGGTGCTACTCAGTGCCCACACCCCTCTTGTGTTAGGTCTAAAACTGTCAAAGCACAGAGGCTCACAAACCCCCTTGATTGCTCCCTTGTCAATAAAAATATGGGCTCTGATTACAAGACAAGATGTTCTGAGTTGGATACTTACTCTATTTATTGGAAAGAAATTGTACATGTGGGTGCTTTGTATCTGCACTTTCTGTGCAGCTAATAGACAAAATAGCATAGGTGGGAAACAATCTTCTGTTATGTCAAGACATGCAGTGAGGTTATATTAACTACAGCAATATCAGACTCAGCAGATACATATATTGAGACAAAATGTGAATTAGAAATCTGATTTCTTCTTCTTTATATTCTAATCAGTTTTAATGATTAAATACATGTTAATAGGCTTTGCTTGCCTATCCTAACATACTACAGTGATACACCTATATTTTGACTATAAGCACAACAGGGAAATATTTAAATATTTGCTATAAAGTTGTTTACCTGTCCATTATTTTTTTTTATTAAACGATGCATATTGGATGTAAGGCCCAGATAGTGCCCTAGCAAGGTTTCTTTGTAGGTTCTTGAATTGCCTGGGGACACCTTGATCCTGCTAACCAGCACGGTTCAGCTGCAGAAGTCTGCCCTTGCAGATTTAACCACCTGAGCTTTCATGGGGATATCACAGTCTTGAACACGGCCTCCCTGACTGTGAGTGTGCATTTGTCTCCAAGGTCAGTTTGAAAGATTAATTCACAAACATATGGTGAAAATTACCCTCAAGTTTGTGTTTTAAGGACTGAAGACCCTCTATCAAAACAGCATAAGCCACATATTAAGATACTACTACGCTTTTAAGAGACCTGGTAGAAAACCCTCTCCAGTCAAGGAAAGGCAAGAACTCAAGACTATTCTCTCAACAGTAATGATACGATCTTGGAAACCTAATTGGGATGTCTTAAATCGTAAGTTCAATTACAGGAACTTCTATTTCAGAGCCATAAAACAGAAGCACACAATAATGGGTGATGAATGCATTACCTACTCTACTACCACATTAGGGCCACAAAATTAAACACAAAGTCTAGTTGAAGAGGACCTAATTTGGATGCAGGAACATTAACCTGATCCACTTTGAAAACTTAATAGTATATAGGACAAATTTAATAAAAAAGATATGTATTAAATTACATGCTTAACAGGATGAAAGTACATTATGTTTGCAGTGCAACTAACTGAGCAGCTAACATATGCTGAAGTCATGTTTTTGTTTAGAACATCCTTGAGATTTAGACATACTGAAAGAAGAGAAAGAGTTATAAGAGGTATGTGCAGTTGGAGATACTTAGTGAAGGGAGATTGAGAGAGAAAAGAAAGCTTGTTTTGGTCTACACTAGATTGGGAAAGTGTAAGAAAAAGGCTGGAGAAACATTCCTGAGTATGCACAAAATTCCTGAGGGTTGCACAAAAAGAGTAAGGCCTTTTGGGGTATTGATGGTTATACTGAGGAGATGGCATTTGAAGGAAGGTCTGGATGTCTGGAGAACACACTTTTGAGGATGAGATGCTAAGCAAGCGTAGCATGGCATGGATGTGAAGAGTCTGGTAGTTACCCTGTCCAAGAACTGCTGGTGGAACAGATTCGCTGTGGGTCTCCAACGGGCAGGACTTGGGGAGAGCTTGCGCCTGCAGCTGCCTGGCTGGGAAGCACTCACCAGAGGACAGGGTGTTTCTGGGTGACTATTCTTCACCCCTCTGATTTTTCTCCGTCCTGCTTTGTGCCTCGTTGTGGCTGTCAGTGAGCAAGCCGTTTGCATGCTCTAGCTTCCCTCTCATGTATTTTCAGGTTTGTGGGGGTTTTTTTGGTTTGGTTTGGCTTTTTTTTTTTTTTTTTAATGTCCTCCTCCAGCTGGGCTGAATGCAATCAGCATCTGACATGCACAGTTCACCCCAGCAATTCACATCCTGAACCCAGGACGCTGCAGCGATCAGGCAGCTGAGTTTGACAGCAGCTTTCAAGGTGGTCTGAAAAGGGCCCTTCTCACAACCCCGCCTTCCCCTCAGCGCCAGCATGCTGGCAGCCTCCATTTTAAGGCCCACCTCCCACCCTCGATGCGAAAGGCAGGACAGCGCCCTCCTTCTCAGAAGCACCTCGCGTCCCTCGCTAGGTGAGCTGGGCATGTTTAACAGTGGGCTGGTTTGTTCTGGTTTGGTTGGTTTGTTTTGGTATCTCCACTCCCTCAGCTCAACATCCCCGTCGCGCCCAGCCCGCCAAACTACCGCACCGCGCGCCTTAGGTGAGCCTAGCGGCGATTGGCCAACATTACTACTATCCCCGCCCTCTCCCTCCCATGATTGGTCTATCCCTTAAGTTACCACGCCCTTATCCGCGCGTGATTGGGTAGCTCTTCGGCCAATCTTTCTCTTTTCGGCGTCTGATTGGCTACGTCAGGGAGGGAGGGAGGGCAGGGCTCTCCCTCACGGAACCGGCGGGGCTCCGCGGGGAGCGGGGCCGGGCGCTCTCGGTGACTGTCCCCGCGGGCTATAGCCGCCTGTGGCCGCTGCCTGCCGCGATGGAGCTCTGCTGCCAAACGCTGAGAACCACCCATCAGGCGAGGGAGGCGGTGAGAACCTGGCGCGCGTCTTCGTTGCTATGGAAATCGCGGAGGGGAGGGCGGGGGGGGGCGGGTGTGACCGTTCTGCGCATGCGCGGGGCGGCAGTGAGCAGGCGCAGTGAGGTGGGGCCGTGCTACCATGGCGGCGGGGATGGGGCGGGTTGTGGCTGCTCTCGGCGTGTCGGTGGTCCTGCTTTCTCTTCAGGGCGGCGGCTTCCCACGCCCCCCCCCCCGCTTCCCTTCTCATTTCGCTTCTTGTCGTGTCCGATCCTCAGGGCAGGGCAGGCCCCCGTGCTGCCTACAGTTCTTTTCCGCGGCGGGAGCAGCGAAAGGGAACGTGTTCCTCCCTCAGCTCCCTTTTCTGTAAATCAGAGCTGTACAGTCACGCTGTGCCTCTACCCCGCGGGTGGGTCGAGCTCCGGGAGGCCCAGAAGCAGCAGCAGTTGGCTAAATTTCTGAACCTGTTCTTTTGCTTCCATCTGCTGGTCGAATTCAGCTCGAGTAAGAGAGGGACTGGCGCTGCACCGCAGGACTGCACAAACCCTTCCGGGAAAGGCGTTAGGTGCTCTGTATGCATGCACAAATCCCCAGTGTGCGTGGATAGCACAGGATTGGTCACAAAAAGGTAATCTGGGGAGGCGTTCTGAGACTGGATATTGTGTCAGCCTCTTAGATTAGTAAACTGTATATATACCTAGGAATATAGAAGCTTTCAGCACAGTCTCTCTCTGAGCCCTAAAGGGGATTCAGATCTCAACCACTGGCAATGGTTCCCTAAGATCTGGTGTTGAAATGGTGTTAATGTTCAGAAGGAAAACGGGAGAAAAACAGGGTTGATTAGTAACCTCAATAATGGGGATTTGAGTGGCCCTGGTCCCAAGGATAGTTTTGACTACTAAAGGCAGAAACGTTGTTGGGAGTAGGACCTGGAGCTCCAGAACCTCTTCCCTGTGAGCTGTACCACTGGATTTGGGCTGGTTTGCTTTGTAAACTGACTTCTATACAGCCTTTTGTCAGGATGAATCTGGAGATTGAAGCTTGTATTTTGGGTACAAAGGAGAGACAGGTGTTCATATTCCACAGAGGGGCAGAAGTTTGGAACCTACTTTTTTTTTTCAGGACAGTTAGTGACTAAGAAACAGCTTGAAACTGCCAAAAGGATTTTTTGATTCTTCCTCAAATGTTCTTGACTTCTGTGGAGGGAGCCTAGATACTTAATTTCGGGTTTCTGAATTGCAGTATTCCAATACAGTATCTAAAAGTTAGGTTGCTACATCTTTAATTTGTAGCACTATATAACTATTGGAATTCCTAGTTTTGCGGTCCTGTCCTTATCCGTATTGCATTTTCACATTAATCTGTTCTGTAGAATGGAACTTACTATTTTCTAGCAATTTTTGGAAAAAGGGTTTAAGAAAGAATTCCTATGTAAATATAAATTCTTACATGAATTACAATTAGATGGCTGTTCACAGCTACACAATGCAGTTTTACAATTAATTTGTTTTGTGAGCCATTTCACTGGTTTTAATTGTTAAATATTTGCTATGTTTGTGCTGTAAATCACTCTTGATAAGCAACATTGTAAACTGCAGTAGAACTTTGCAAATTCATACAAATGAGTGGGAGAGTTAATTCTTATTAATTAATTACATCATGGCTTCAGCAATGTTCCTGTTAAAAGAGGGAGATAATAGTGGTCTGTGAGCAGCTCTTAGCAAAGGCACATGAATTAATGAGAGACAGCATGTAGCTATTGCAGTGGGGGGAGGAATCAAAAAGTTTCTGTTTTCAGTGCACCAAACTCAAATTGTAAAAGTCTTTAGATTTTAAATGCAACACCTCTTGGGTGCCTCTTATTGTAACAACTAGGACAGCCATAACTTCTAATGTGAGCTTACTGTACGTCTTTAATTATGAAAGCTATTTGTAATCCTTCTTGAGAAAGTTTACCGATGTGATTGTTTGCAGCAGGCCTGTATAGTTTGGAAGAGACAATAGAATAAAGAAGCACCCTTTCTTTGTGTTTGGAAATTCTATTCAATGGCAGCCAACTATACTTTGTTTAAAACTCACCATTTCCCTTCTCTGTTTGTGTTTCTCAGAAAATTACTGTCAGCAAGCCAGATAATAATTGGATATCAGCTTTCTAAAAAGCCTGGCAAGGCTGCAAATAAAAGATACAAAGGGATAGGGGAGGCGGGAAGCTGTGGGGGTATAGGGTGGTGGAAAGAGGAGGAAAACTGGACAAGTCCATAGTGCCTCAGCTACTCTATCCTGGCACATCTTGGCCTTGAGGAACCTCATACTTGGCAGTCATCCTGGGATCCCAAAAGCAAGAGGTAAGGGACGCTGCACGTGTAGTATAAGATCATTCCCTGTGTGATTACAGAGCAAACAGCTTGCCTCTTGTCTGAATTCCTGATCACAGATCCCTCTGAACTCACGTTATTGACTGCCTCAGTTGAATGTACAAGGGCACAGTATCACAGCAGTATAGTTATTATCTCCAAGCTTCTCAGACTGTAACTTACTCTGTAACTTTTTTCTTCATGCTATCAAATATATTCATGCAAAGATACAGGGTCAAATGATAATGAAACATTATAAGGTTAAATTAATCTTTTAGTAGGTCCATTAATTTGATGGAATTACACAAGAGACTAGGTTGATTTATAATGAAAATGCATTTTAGTAAAAGGTATGGAAATAACTAAATGAACAATTGCATTTAAAGATGCATGACTCTAATTAATAGAGTTTAATTGTAAATGGCTGCAAAGAAAGGAATACATACCACTTTTGTTAAGCTAGAAATAAATAAAATACACTGTAAATGTTGGAGCTAATTAGTTAAGTGCTCAACTATTTAGTTTTTAAAACAAGATCACGCTCAAGTGCCTTAAGCTTTTATTAATTGCATGGACCCCAAAATCCCCTATAGTAATTGAAAATTTAATTACATACATTTTTTTGTTCTTTTAAGAATGGAAGCTTATTAAACTTTAAACACTTAAACATCTATTGAAATACCAGTGGCTATAAACAACATGCAATTCTAAATACTAATTAAACAGGAAGGCTAAAACACTATAAAGCTAAACTGAATTTTAAGTAACTTTGCACTCATAAGTACTCCTATTTTTGTCGTGCTGTGTAAGATTTACCATTTCCTCTTCAAGCACAGCAGAAGTCCTGGGTGGTGGTAGTATCTGTCTGTACTATGGCAGGCACATTGTTTTGTGGACATATTTGCAATGGGGGTCAGTCCCTAGAGAATAAACAGAAGAAAGGAGACCAGCGTGGGCAAAGAGCTGTTTAAGGGGGCAGCTAAAGCTGCTGGTGGCACTGACACGTGTAGAGGTTCACCAACTCCCTGGAAAGAGTATGTGGTGAAAGACCAGGGAGATGTGGTTTTGTGGGGTTGGTCAAGAAAGCAATGATCTATGCACCACTGACTCACAGGATTTATGATTTGGTAACAGTTACATGTTGAAAGGTCCTTAATTTTTGCTTTATAGAAATGCCACAGTTCTGGGATCAGAGGTGTTGATATCTGTTCTGTTTTTCAGATCAAATCTAATGCAAGTCTCTGTCAGTTGATCAGCTGATTAATGGCTTCATTAATTTTCTTTGGACATATGTCTGACTTCACAAATTAACCATTGCTTTTTGCATTCATATTAACACAAGATAATGATAGACTGAACCTCTTAGTATAAACAATCTTGTGATTTTTAGTTGGGGCTCTTTTTTGATGTAAAGGTTCACTTTTGCTTTTGTTTGGTCAACACAACAAGATGAACAATAATACATTAAGGCTGATCTGGTTTGCTCATACATAGACACAATGTTATCCTATACCCAAAGCAAGCCTCTACTTAAAATATTTGAGGTGCTGCCCATTGCTGTATTGCTATTTATATTAGAACTTAAAATGCCTTTAGGGATAGCAGAAGTAACCCAGTGGGATAAACAGCAGCGGAAGACACCAGAATACAAATTCTTTGCAAGGAAGGTTCCAAACCTGGATTGCGGGTCCTGTCAGTTCATCAGGCAGACACAATTCCTCTGTCATCAAACTATTACTTTAAATACTCAAACATGAAACACTTGATGTGTTTGTCTTCTGTGGCAACCGCTGTGTTTTCATTCTGTGCTTAAATATTCAGAGGTAGCTGTGTTCTTGCCTTTTGATATGTGGGCAAACACAACAGTTATTTTTTCTCAGCATAAGACAGCAGGAGCGGTTGTATTTAGAAGAATGTACAGGTGGGACTCAGCGTACGATGACTCCAGCTCCTTGCACCTCCAAGCCTGTTTCAGAAGATTCAGATCATCCAGGAGGAATGGTGAAAGGTCCACATTGCAATATCTGTTTTCCAAACACTAGCGCCTCAGAACAATAAGGAAAAGATCATTTCATTCCAGGGTGTCAGTGTTTTCTCTTAGCTCATGACAGTTCTCGGAATTGGTTCATTTCTTGTTGCAGCACCTTTCAGGAACCTATCTACTTCATTCAAGAGTTACTGATGTACCAAGCATTTATACAACACTATTCCTCCCTAAAATGTTTAGAAAAATCATCTTTGTGCCACCACCAAAAGGCAAACAGCATTGTAGCTTCCATATGAACTCAGAAAGAAGAGTGGCTGTGTAACTATCAAGAAGATATCAAAGGCAGTGAAGGCTAGATGTGGGGTAGAAATGGCTTCTTCCATTTTACCCAGCCAATTTTATTCTTCTCTCTAGAAAACCAGAATGAAGATACTGCCAATCTTTTTATTGATACGTGAAATACAAATACACTCCACAGGAAACATTAAAAGCAAACCTCAGCCCTTTCTTAGTTATGTCACTAGATGGCCCCATGTCTGAAGCAAACATCCCAGAAAATAACTGCTATAGTGGGAGACCTTTTGCCCATTCTACCCAGTGCTTTTTACAGGTTGGCAAGTACACGGAGAGGTATTAGTTTTAATATGAAATAATAACTCATTGTGCTGTTGCAAGTGTTTAATTAAGAGCAGACTGCTATATGATATCTGCTGCTGTGTATGGAGCAGAGGGGGCCGATAGGTCTAATCTGTCAAAGGAAGGGCATGCTAAAGAGGTAAGTTTGTTTTGCAGTATATTGCACCACCCAAAAGCACCCTTGCTTGTAGGAATAAATGATTCTCCAGTATCCACAGTTTACTATAATGATGTTTCCTTCCATGAGACTGGGAAGAGGGATAGGGTAATTGTCTTTCTGTATGGATATTCCTTTTATGCACCTTGTGGGATTTGAAAACATAAGCCTTGGTCAGTAGTAATTCTTTGGGTTGTTTGTGTGCTGGGCACTGGCAGAGAGCTGCAGAAGACATTGCTACAGACGCTGGGGCTCTATTTCCAGTATGAAGAGGACAAACATTTGTGGGTTTGTCACCTGCAGATACCTAACACTTGAGCTAGGCTTTTTCTTGGGGCTGAATGCAGGCACTGCTCAGTTGGGGTAGAAGGGAGGGAAACTAGGGGTGGAAGGAGGAGACTGTGTATGTGTTACTGTGTAATGTGATCAGGAATATATATGTGCTGTGCAAGCAACAGAAACTACTGCTTTTACCCCATCCACTGAATAAGTGCCACTCTCTCATGTTGGGGTCCTCATAAGTAATCGTAGAATATCTCAAGTTGGAAGGGACCCATAAGGATCAGTGAGTCCAACTCGCAGTGCTGAATGCCAGCATCCTAAAAGAGAAAGGAAATAATTTATTTGCCCAAATGCAGGCTTGGCCATACTGGTTTTCCTGTGGTCCCAGCTTCAAATCCCAAGGAGGCAGACCAAAGTCAATATGCTGATTTATAGAGCTTTCCTTGTAGCAGCTTCTGTTATGACTAAAATCTCAGGGTTTCTCTAAATCTTTATTCCAGTATCTTAGAAGATTTCTGTTTCTACTGCCCCTTTTGCTCTACTTGTTGTTGCACTTTATGCTCCCCCAGATGTAACTTCACAGAATGATGACAAAGATGTTTTATACTGCCTCGTTTTTGTCACTGAACCATTTGTGAATAACTTTGGGTTCTCCAATCTGTGTGAAGAAATCCATAGGGCTGACTCCATCTTGTAACTTCTGTATGTTGGGACCTGAGTTTGGTCACTCTTGTGTTAAAATTGGGCAAGTTTGGTGTTATCTCAAACTACTAATTCTTCAAGTACTCTGTATTTTACTTGCATTTATATATCAAGGTGCGAGAATTGGGAGGGGCCAATAGTGTACAGCTGGTCTTTGTAGCATAGATACACAGATCCCAGACCTTTTCTCCATGTCCCTTTCTCCAAGCACTCAGAAAATGGGTTTCTAGCTTCTAGAGGAAGGGACACGGCCATGCTACAGCACAAGATTTCCTTGCACAGCCCTTGGAGACACTGCATGAGGTCTGCAAGTGTCCTACACTGAAATTCACAGCAGCCTGAACATGTTGGAGATCCATAACCATAGTAAGGGAAGTATGTTATTTTTTCAACCTCAGAGTAATTTTCTCTTCTCTAGGAAAAGGTTTCTACCCATCCAGTAGCCCTGATAATGTGTAAGAAAAATTACATTGAAAACCACTTTCCTTCTGTTTATTAACAGTGAGTTGTTTTACAGTTCTTACATGCTGTTGTCTTAATTTGTTTGTTTCCACAGGCTACATTTAGATGCTGTTTACAGCAATAAAGAGAATATTACATTTGATCTAGAGTTCTGTCTTAATTCACAGGATGAGATGCGAACAGAAGCTCGTCGAAAAAATCTCCTCATTCTAATTTTGCATTATTTAATGGAGGAAGGGTATGTTTTTTAAATAATAGTGCTCTGCAGTTGTGGGTTGTGTGTGCCTGACCTCCCATAATGTGTCCTTCTGTCCTCTGTTGGGTGGATGGACAGCATGGCCCTTTGGTTTAATGTGAGTAAGAGGTAAATTACTATTACATATCTTGGCAGTTTACTTTGCTAAATTGTTTCAGTTTCTGAAACAAAAATGTCCTATATAATTTTAAAATACTTTAAAGCAATCAGCAAATGACCTTTAAATAGAGTGTGTGCTTTTATAATAAATAGAGTTGCGGACAGATTAAAAATACTGTATACTTACTAATGCCTTTGTTTGCCTCTTCAGAATAAGATAATAACTCTCAGTTTTCTGATCTTTGTTTTTTTGAAATTACCAGGTATGTTGATGCTGCAAATGCTTTGGAACAAGAGACGAAATTAAGTTTACGTGGCTTTGAAGTTTGTGACAACATTGATCTTGAGACAATTTTGATGGAATATGAAAGCTATTACTTTGTAAAATTTCAGAAGTATCCTAAAATCACCAAAAAGGTCCTGGACACAGGTATGTGGCTGTATTCCAAAAAGAAAGCTTTTGTTTCTCAAAGCCTAAAATGTGTGTTTAGCTGATATACTCACTGCCCTTCTTGTGTATGTCAGTGTTTAATATTTGAACTGTCTTACAGTTACAGAGCTATAGTTCTAGCACATAGGACTTAAGAATTTAGAGATGGAACTTTGAGCCCTTCTGCTCTTCTTTCTTTATATAGAGGAGAAAAGTAGTGATACTTTTCTGTATTTTAAAAACTGCTTTGATATTGAAAAATGCCATGTAAGCACAATGTATTATGGCATAGATGTATTCACTTTCTTCTCATGATGAGAGAATAGTAAGGCTGTTCTGTCTTGGATTTAATTTTTAAAATAAAATAATCCACTTAAATGAAATATTAAAACTTTGCTTACCAAGTTAGTGCTTAAAAGTTTATCACCACTAGTGTCATTAACTATCTATTTGGCATATTTTGATATACTAAAGATAGTGTGCCAAACAAGTGATAGGTTTATTTGCTCCTAAGGACTTAAAGTCTGAGGTATAAATGAATGATACAGAATAATGCAAGTCATAACGTGAGTGTTTTGTTATGACCCTGAGAGCCTGAATGGTTTTGTACTTGAGCACAAAATGTAACTTATAGAAGCCATAAGAACAACTGCATTAGAGTCAGTTATGAAGAGCTTGGAGGGTGCAGAAAACACCGACTTCTATACCTATTTGTCTTGTAAGAAAAATAAAGTCATTAGAGAAGGGAATGATTGGACAGGGAACATCTCTGAGCAGTCATTATTGTTTCATATGTCTGCCAGCAGCTTTGAAATGATATACACAAATATAATAAAATTACCTGTATAGGTGAAATGATTTTGAATCGTAATAAAGCTACTAGTCATCATTACATTCACAGTGTTGTAGAAGATCAGTACTAGCTGGAAGCAAGTGTTATCTGCATGAAGAACAGACCTATGGCTAGAACCTGTTGATTGGCGTTAATACAAAGAGGAGCAGTCTTGCAGGACAACACAAAAAAGATTTGTTACGAATCGAGATTGAAAATGTATTACAAAGCATTTGACACATCATACTTATTCTTAGTCAAACCGAGCGGCAGCCAAAGCTTGATCCATGATTGAAGTGAACAATTCCAAAAAGCCACTCTTAGACACTTAGAACCTCTTAGTACCCATTTTTTGGACAGTAAAGCTACTCAGACATGGGGCATTCTGCCGTTACTGAAGCCCAGAATGGCAACCATGCCAGCAAGGGTGTATTATCCTTTTTCCCTGAAGCCTAAGCAGCCTACCTCCTGCATGTATGCCTCTAGAGAAGCTTCTACCTGGTTATTTGTTACTCACCTTAAATTGTGTCCATGGTCAGGTCATGGTATATGCAGGTCAAACAAAACTAGTAGAGTGGTGGTCCTTCCTACTAAATTCTTTGTAATAGGTCTCAGCAAATTCTACTGAATCAACTAATTTCCATGCTGAATTGCAGTTTGCAGTGGCGTAGATGTACCCACATGATTACAAGTTTCACGCATGGGTTCTGCTGCCTCTAAGTACACTGTGTTCCAAAGCTCTTACAGTGAAACAGCTATTTGGGAAGGATTATTTTATGTAAGTGTATGAGAACCTGGGTGCAAGAGCTTTGTACAGAAAACAGTGATAGGAAATGTATTTTGGAACAACTAGGTGCATGCTAGTATGGTACAGACCCTCGGCTTTATGAGTTCACATCTGGGCTTCGTGAGTTTGACATTTTGAGGAAAAAGCCTTTCTTTGACAGAAGTTGTTTCAAATTATGAAAGTGCAAAAAATAACATAGTTTGATAACCACCATTGCAATGTGACATTCATGCTGTCTTGGTTTGTTGAACTTGATAAAATCACTATTAAGAAGAATGAGGCAAATTCTTATTTCCCAACTCAGCAATGAAAAAAATATTAACATTAAATAAGCATTCTGTGTGATATATTAAATTAGTTTATTGTGCTGAATCTAATTTGTGGTAGTATCTGTTTTACTGTGAAAATGATACTGGTTTTAAAATGTAAGCAAAGAAGCCAAAGACAACGAACCTAAAATTTAACAAGCCTGAAGCCAAACAGCTATCTCCAATATCAGTTTGATTTCAAAACATTTTTGCAAACTTGCATTTCTTGCAATCATGCTGTTCCTGTTTATGCAGTGTTATTTGCAACATCATTAACGTGTGCTCAAAAATATTTTTGAAGGGGAAAAAAAAAATCAGGTTGCATTTTTTATATCCTTAATTATTTTTCATTTTAATATTAATTTTGCCACAGCAGAAAATAAACAACAGCTGAGAACCGAGGGAAGACGAAGAAGGTAAGAGAAATTACTGAGTTTTTTCTGGGCAGAAAATTTTCCTATAAAAGCAATATGCCACATGGTTAAAATAATGTTGTAACACCATAGGATTACTAAAGCCTAGAATCACACTGCTGATTGCATGGTGCATTTTTCTGTATCTTTTAGAGGGAAATAAAGACTTATTTCCCAAATGCAGACAAATTACAAAGTTTCTACAGTGTGAATAAGGTAGGGTAGCATGTTTGAAAGCAGTAAGCATTGAACTTTGCTGTGATTGAAATTGATGCCTTAACTTCGGTAGGAGTAAAGTTAGCCCAAAACTGCTTTATTTGAAAACTCCACCTTTTCATCTTTTGGTATTTTGAAGGAAAAAAGAAGTTGTGAAAGCCTTTCAAGATAGTATTTTTTTAATTCTAGGGCAGAAAGCTCTTCTCAGAATGTCCTAAGGCTCAAACATCAGACAGTGCAACGACCATTGTCAAAAACTGCACCTGGGAGTACAACAGAATTTAAATCTTTCACCAAGGAGAGTCCCAAACAGGTTTAAACATGTTTTATCGTGGCAACATTACGGTTGAAATTAATGTGATTTTATTTAGAAAGACTATAGGCAGCAAGAGGATGCGAGTTGCGCAATTAATAATCATGTAACTAATGGGTTTTACTGATTATGACATTTAAGGATTATAGATGCAAGACTTCAGGAGAATATGCTTTCTGGCTGTGAGTTGGGGAGCAAGTCATGGGTAAAAATTAGAGGAAAAGAAGTCATATAATCCAACCGATACTAAAAGCAACTAGAGTTTTCCCATTAACACCAGTAGATTAATCCTTCAGTGCCAGAAAGCAAGACAAAAAGCCAACTAGAAAGTCTGGTGTCACTTGGAAGCATCTTCGTAGTGCATAAGGTTTTTTGAGATTGGGGGAGTAGTTTGACTCTGTAATTTTGAGTTTTGTGAGTCTCATTTTGATAAGATTGCTGTGAAAAGTACTTTATTACCATCCCTTACCAAGAAGGGAGCAGAAACCGCAGGTTGATGGGCAAGCACCGTGTCTGTTACAGCTTGCAAGAAACTACGAGGAGAGCCTCTTTTTTTTTAAGTCTTTGTCCATATTCCTGCATAGGGTGGATCTCATAACTGATGGGTTCTCTCACCCGTTAAAATCTTGGCTTTTGGACACTGCAGCAATGACTGCTATGAAGTGAATGTCAGAGTAACTTACAATCCTAAAATGGCTCCTCATTTCTGAGTTGACATGCTATGCCTTATACGTGCCTGTTTTTTCCACTGTTCATTAAGCATTTCTTTACATAACTATCTAAAATGCAGATTTCTACAACTTAGAATGAAATGCAATAATAATAGCGCACATGAAGTAACTTGAATGCTGAGCTCTAGAGCCATGGCTAAATGTATATAACTAAATGTATGATGGTGTTTGACAATATTGGATTACTGTTGCAAATTCCATGTAATGATACAGCTCATCTGGGTATGTATGAAGAGATGGGACGATACCTATAATGGGATAACTGTAACTCATCTACTTGGCCACACATCTGTTTAAAATTGATTTTTCTTTAGGATAATGACAATGCAGTTACTGTGGAACGATCTGATTTTGGTTTAAGCATCTCAGCAATCAACAAAACTGGAGGAGACAGCACTCACCCAAGAAGGGTTGGTGGAAACTTAGTATGTGATTTATGATAAAAAGGTGTATGTAGAAAAAACATGAAAGTTTTTCACAGATATCAAATGTGAGCTTTTTGTGTCTATTTTTATATAAAAGGATCCCGTATAATTAGCTGAAGAGTCAGTTTTATGATGTGAGCATTAATTCTCTGCATAGGACGCTCTGCTTGCATTAAATAGTATTTCAAACATTAAGAATGAAAAATATTTCTGGTTTTAAAACCCAGGGGTAATAGCTCAAATTGAAGATAAATTTTGAGTTCCTGAATGAGCTGATAAGAGGCTCTGCAGTGAAATTGTTGCAATGACTGAGAAGATGTGTGTTCTTTTCCAGTTGCTATCACAAGTTCTGTGGTCAGTTTTTTAACATATTTAGGACTGTATGTGCAGTAAGGAAGCTAATTGCTGTAATGGCAAGCAAAATTTGGTTCAATGCAGTTAACAGTTAAAGCCTATCAAAACATTGTTTTCTCCTTTAGGGCCAAGTAATTGACTTCCATGGAATGGTTCAGGATGCTGTTAAAGTATCTTCAAATGGAATAGCCTTGAACAGCCTTAATTGTGATCCAGATCCTTCAGTAAGTGTTTCTGTCCATATTTCCATCCAATGATCATGAACATCAGTTTTATATAACCAGGAACAAAATAAAATACCTCAGTGATGTCTTCATTCCCAAGTGCTGAAGAAGGGCTTAGGTTTCTGACTGGTGTATTTCCTTCTTGAGTGGACAGTCATGTGTTACACCAGTCTAATTTGTTGACAGTTGTTTACTTTTTGAACAAGACAACAAATATAAGTGGTATCTTAAGACTCACGAAAAAAAAAAAATCTCAGAAACTCACAGAATATCAGAGGGTAAAATTCTGGTTCCTTTGAATTCAGTATGTTATTTAGTGTTCACCTCAGCTGAGGCAAGAACAGTTTAGGTGGTTAAGATAGAAAATTTTCAGTAAAGTAATCACTACTTGACACAAGCCATAGCTTCTAGGACAATGCATCCAACTTACTCTGTGCCATTCCTCCTGACAACTGCTACATTTGAAGAGACTTTCAAAAAGAGTTTGTGGTAATGTAGTGAACCATATTTACATTTTTCACTCCTCTTAATCTATATAGGGCATGTTTAGGACTACATATGCAATAAGAGAGAAATTAATTTTAATGTTAATCCAGGATTAGATTCTGTAAAATGAAAAGATGAGTTACTGCAAATACAACCTACTTCAAAATCTTTATTATTATCCATATCATTACAGCTTCAAAAGTTGATATTATTATGAAATCTCAGCTTTTTTGAAACTATTTCGTAGTTTGTCTGTTTAAAAATGAAGTCTGACGAGAACTTACGTTTGTCTTTTTTAGGAACGATTATTGAAACCCCTTAGTGCTTTTATTGGCATGACTGGTGAGATGAGAGAACTTGCAACGGTTGTAAGCAAAGTAAGATTGGATCTCCATTTCAGTTGTATAGAGATCTTGGTTATCTTTGTCATCTGAGAATGTGGTTTGTTTCTTTTTACTGTCACTGATGATGCTTATTCTTGAATGTGCAAGCTATTTCTCTTATCATGCAACTCCCAACAAGTCATTTCTTTACAGGATATTTCTGACACACGATGGGAGGAAGTAATTAAGACCATTCCTTTCTAATGGGGAACTTGTAATCTAATCATGCTGCACTCATGAGACTGTCACAGGTTTTCCTTTGTTCTTATTGCTATAGTAAATGTACACCACTAGATAAAGAGATTTAAATATTTAGCTAATATTTTATTTTATTTATTTATTTTAATATTATCCAATGTATTACCTAACTGTGATCAAACAGTGGGGAAAACCTTGATTCAGCTCTGCGTGCAATTTCCATTCAAGGCATCGGGCTGTATTCAGCGTGGATGGTGTGCCAGTATCACAGCCATATCCTGATTCCAAGTGCATCTATTAGATACCGTGTACCAAAATTATTAAACCTGATATTCCTGCATTGTTTATAATACTGCTCCTGTGCCTTGCTTTGCGCTGCTTGAATGATCTGGATTCCTTGTCTTTTCTTGCTTGGTGCAGTGGAGAGATGCTATTACTGTAAGCTCTGCAAGCAGTGCTCTTCCCTCATTCCAGCACAGGAGCTGCATGGGCAGCACCAACAATGCACTGTATCCCAGGGCAGACTGGGGATTTTTCCACAACGGGCAGTTTGGTACCTGGAGAGAATCCCAACTTTATCAGCACCATTTCTTTTCACTCATGGGTTGAGGTGCAATCTAGCAAACAGGCCCTGGGCTAGCAGGAATCAGCCTGGCTATGAAGCAGGTAAATGCTTTGCATGCATCACCTCCCAAACTCCACAAGGCTCTTGTCCAAAAGGCCTCATAGTATCACACTATTTGTTAGTGTTGTGACTCTTTCTGGATATAAGCATCAGAAATGGTATCAACTCTTGCTCCCACATACTTAAAATCAGCTGTTTAAAAAGTCTAGAAGTCTTTTGCTGATTGATTTTTACAGCAGTGCATGGGCCAAATTCTTGGTCTCCAAGTTTTGCGTTTGCAATTTTGTAGAACCTGAAGTCTAAGAAATTTCCAACCTTAAAGTAAGAAAATTCTCATTCATTTCCATTCCTGTCTGGTTTTTAATTTATGGTAAACCTTTAAAATAGTGTTGTTCTTGCTGTTACTTTATCAAAAAGCAATAGGGTTGCTTTAACCTTTGTTATGGTGTGTTTTTTAAATTGTGTTGGTATGTTCCTAGTTGCTATAGTAATCAACACTGTGTAAATCAATAAAAATAAATAGCAAGTGGCATCTATTTCACAACACAATCTAATTTAATTTGGAAACAGTTATGGAAGTCTCTACTTAGTATCATAAATCTGATTCATCTTAATTTGCTGTTAATAGAAAGGGAAAGTGTAATCTACTCTATATAAATAATTTTTGTAATTGTATTAAATCAAATTTTCCCCTCGGATATAAGCACATAATTTTTCTTCAGCCTCTGGGGACTGACTATTTTTATTGGAAAGCAGAATTTATCCCAATTATTTGTATTGAGAATATGATATTTTCTGCAGAACAATTAGTCTCTGGAACACAAAGCCACAAAAATATTACTAAGGCAAATGGAAAGATTCATAGAAGATTTGGAAAGTTTGATGAATTAAATGAAATTAATTTATTGAGTGCTTCAGGGCATAGACTAATTACCGACTATCTTTTGATAGATGCTTAGGGGAAAATTTTCCTCCTGTTACAGAGTTTCTCACAGCTTTTCTTGCAGCGTATAAAATCTTGCGTAGTGTAGAGTAAACAGAAATTTTTCCGTTACTTATAAGTGATATCTGCAGCCATAAAGTTACTGAGCGTCAAGTTTAAACCAAACAAAAGTATTTTCACATTGCACATGATTAAACTGTGGAACTCATTACTACAGAATAAGCATGTTCAAAAAAGAGATAAGATAAATTCACTGAAGAATTAATATCCAAGGGTGTTTGAACTCTAAGATGTGATTTTAATTATCTAAACCCTTCACTTGCAGATTTTGGTGGATGTGAATATGAACCAATGTGTCACTCCTATTGCTCATACTTTTTTTTAAATATCTGATACTTGCCAGCGTCAGAGACAAAATATTAGGGTTGGTGAACCTTCATATCATGACAGCTCTTCATATATGTTAGTTGGTTACTAAAACCAACTAACGGAAGACAGATCTGCAAAACAAACCTGCTCAGTGTACACATTTGGCAGTCTATACGCTCTTAGGGAAACTAGGGCCTTGAAGGGAAGCAAGGCCCAATGTAGCAGCTCTGTAGAAATGATTGCTGTGTATGCTTTCCTTGTGGGAGGTACCTCGTATGTAGGGTTAAGTAATACAGTTTGTATCACTTAATAGCACTCTTATTTTATAACTGAGTCGATTCTTTTACTTTGCCAGAGATCATTATCCTAGTACAGAAGTTTTACTGACAGGATGTGATGTATGTTGCAGGACATTTATCTCCATAATCCAAATGTGAAGTGGGATGATATTATTGGACTGGATGCAGCTAAAAGGCTAGTCAAGGAAGCAGTTGTTTATCCCATAAGGGTAAGGCACTGAATATATTTGAGAAAATCAGTGTTGGGCTTTTTAGCATTTTCCTTGTAATTACACTGGTGTTTTAGAGTTCTCACTGTTACTGTGCATTTGCAGGCAGTTCATCTTAGAACTCTGCCTGTTCCTGTTTCGTCTGACACTGGCATATGCATTCTCCTATAGGCAAATGGCTTTTCAGTATTAAAATTATTGTGTCCTATTCTTTGGGACCTTTGGCAATGTAAGAGGTGCTGGATTTGACCTGTAGTAATTTAATGGAAAATTAATTATAGAAGAGAATATCAAACCAATTGCATATGAAGTACTCAGTTAAAACAGATTTCAAATTAATTATAGAAGAGAATATCAAACCAATTGCATATGAAGTACTCAGTTAAAACAGATTTCAAATGGTAAATATGATATTTTTCTCAGTACTCAGATCGTGTATATCATATTGTTTTGGAGGGTTTTTATCTCCGTATCTTCAAATTTCTCAGGCTTCCTGGATGAGTTAGGAGCAGTGGAGGTAGGGTTTAGAATCCCTTGCATTTTGTTATAGATGATACAGTTTTAATCCCTAAATTAATTTTCTTTTTCCCCAGTACCCACAGCTGTTTACTGGCATTCTGTCTCCTTGGAAAGGATTACTGCTGTATGGACCACCAGGTATGTACAGCTTTATACTGTATCCGTTTGTTTATCACTGCTTCTAGTTTTGAACCATGGTTAAATCATTGATGCTAATTATATCAAATGTATTAGTAAAGAACAGGACAATGTTCTGTAATGTGAAGTAAAAGGAGACACAAAGGATAATTACTTCTGTCTCTGACACTCAGACCTGTACATTTGCCTTTCTCACAACCCTTGACTATTTCTACACCCGAATCTTCCAAAAACAATACTTATACTAACCATTCAGGAAAGTGAGAACTCATCTCTGTTTTTACTGAACTTGGATCATATTGATCAAGTTTGACTTGACCTGATCTTACGAAATGTAAATAAAATACTGCATGGACTCAACTTTTTAGGGAAAATGTCCTTTCTTCCTTCTGCATTTGGGTATTGTTTTGGAAATGGGGTCGAAGCTTTGCCCCCTGTGCTAGCTGGGTGTTTTCCATGTCAGCACAGCTTCCTCTGCTCCACTTTGACACAAGCATTACCACCATGAGTGTGTCTGTGAGGGGACAGAGGGAACAAGTACCGCCTGAGTCAGGCTGCAAAGGCTGTTGCTGCAGTAAACTCAATTTGTTCCTGTGAATGTTTAGATGTACTTGACACAGAATCTGACCGTTTCAGCACGTAGTACTTCAGAATTTGGAGAATGTGTTTGCAGTGCTGTATTACCTGAGTTTCTCCAGACAATCCTGGAAGGGCTGTGGAGATGCTGGGGGGGCTGGAGCAGCTCCCCTGGGGGGCCGGGCTGAGAGAGTTGGGGGGGTTCAGCCTGGAGAAGAGAAGGCTCCGGGGAGCCCTTCGAGCGGCCTCCCAGGGCTTAAAGGGGGGACAGGAGAGGGGGGGGAGGGACTCTGGGTCAGGGGGTGGGGGAATAGGGTAAGGGATAATGGTTTTAAACTGAAAGAGGGGATATTTAGATGAGATCTAAGGCAGCAATTCCTCCCTGTTTGGGGGGTGAGGTGCTGGCCCAGGGTGCCCAGAGCAGCTGTGGGTGCCCCCTCCCTGGAAGGGTTCAAGGCCAGGTTGGACGGGGCTGGGAGCCCCCTGGGCTGGGTGAAGGGGGCCCTGCCCGGGGCAGGGGGTGGCAATGAATGGGATTTAAAGGTTCCTTCCAACCCAAACTATTCTGTGCTTCTATAACGTTTTCTGTTTTGCTGTTTTTATCTGACTGATAGAAGGATGAAGGGAATTATTCAAACATTTGCACTGTATTTCTTTAGAGAGTGAATTTCTTCAACGCTGTTGTTTGTAGGTACTGGAAAAACTTTGCTTGCTAAGGCTGTTGCCACAGAATGCAATACAACCTTTTTCAATATATCAGCATCCACCATTGTCAGCAAATGGAGGGGTGATTCAGAAAAACTTGTCCGGGTAAGAATTATTATAATCTCATTTTTTATACTTTAATAAACATCAGGTTCCCACATGAGAAACTGGAGTTAAACACAGAACTGGAAAGTGAGCATTCCTTTGATATTCACAGTCTTGGATAAAACGTGATTTTTTTCATATCTAGTTCTTAAACTGGGAATATCTTCACCTTTGTAGAAATCTCACAATGGATTCTTGCTGTGGAATTTTAGTTCTGTAATGTAAGATGACACAAATGTCCTGAAGACAGCAAAGATTTTTGACTCACTGAGTAAGAGACAGGCAGAGTTCCTAACTAAAGTAGTGTTTGCTTAGTGATCCCTTCAAAGTGCTTCACATCCTTTCTAAAAGGGTTGGCTTGAAATATTATTTAGATTCATAAACTCCTTATTAGTTGTAGTCTTCAGGGCACAGAATTGGCAAATAATTCTCTTGTCACAAATATTTTACAGTCAAAAGCAGATGTAATGTTGTTTTAAGTAAGGTAGTTTAATGGTAAATATATTTTTGCATATAGACTAGCAAGCAGCATGCATGGCTCAACTGTGGTAAAAAAAAAAAAAATCAGGGATTCAGGTGTAGCATCTTTGCCCCATGATGCCCATCGTAATCTCTCTGTAACGTCCACCATTTCAGTGTAAAAATTCCACAAGCTCTTAGCCTTTCTTTACACTCATCTCTTAGGCTACACTACAGATAGATACAGAGCTCTTGAGAATGAATAATTGTAACAGATTGCATTCAGCTAATGGCATTGCAAGCATTGTTAATCTCTCTTGAAATTTAGGCAATGTCTGGAACAGAATTATTCTTCATGTGCCCTTTGTCCTTTAAAATGGCACATTTTTCTTACGACATTCACCTCCTATGTTATTTATCCTTTTGACATCTGTCTCAGTAGCTTCCTAGAAGTTTCCCTTCTGGCGGGAGTAGGGAGGGGATGGTCTGTTTTATGACAGCACCATCCGAAAGGGTTTTGTGAACATGCTGCAGCATTTGCAGTGGTATTGAATTTGTGACATTTTACCCTTAGTTGAGTTTTTGGCAGAATCCAAAAATGCAATAAGTTTGTGGATCAGGACAGCTCTAAGAAAAGTATTGTGTGAATTTATATCCTAAAATCACATGAGGCTGGTGCAGGAGTTTTCTGAAGTTGTGTGGAGTATATGTGGGTTTTGTGGTCATTTGGAGGCATGTCCACTCATCCTGTTTTTCTCAGTTCTCAGTTGTATTGGTGTGATTCTATATTTTGTATTTGTAATAAAATTGTAGACTGTTCATGGGTTACTTGTGACTCTGGGCAAATAAATTAAACCCTCTGCTTCATATCCAAAGTGTAGAAAATAATATATATCTCTTAAAATTTGTCTTTTCAACTGTTCAGATTAAAAATATAGTTAGTGATATTTATTTTAAAACTCAAAGAACAATTCACTGAAGAAGAATCAACAATATGTTTTTACTGCTAATATAAGCTTCTCCATATTTACAGAAAAATAGATGAAACTTCTTTCTCCAAAGGGCAGACCCAGATTTTCTGTGTCAGCTTAATATTCCATTTTTTAATCTTGATTGTTCAAGCAGTTTATGTTTCTTTTCACCAGGAAAAACAAAAGAACTGCTTGAATGTTATCAAGAGAATCACTCCACTTTCTTCCATTATGGTTCAGCTGACTTGTAATTTTTTTTCTCAAATCCTTATTTAACAAAACTACAAATGGAGCAACAACAGAAGATGGATGGTGGATCTCATAACAATTTAGGAGTTCCCAGAATCTTCTGATAGATCATGTATTTCCATCTCATTATTCGCAGGGTACGCTGATAGGATTTAGCCAGAAAGATTTACGTATGAAGAGAGGATTACAAGTCTGTGCTCTTTATATCTCCTTCACAAACCTTTCAGAATTTCAGGGACCCTCAACCTACCCAGAGCCTTTTCCCGGCAGATATCCCTCTTTGTCATAGAAGTTTGGAATGTGGGTGCTGTTACTTGTCTTCTGTGCCAGTGGCCTTTAATGCCTGTTTGTGTAAGTTTATCTTTTCTTTCACATGTACTCTTTTCTTTAAACAGGTGTTATTTGAGCTTGCCCGGTACCATGCTCCTTCCACAATTTTCTTGGATGAGCTGGACTCAGTTATGAGTCAAAGAGGCACTATATCTGGGTAACTAATGAGACCACTTCCTAGGGCTCTAGGAGAATATTTGTGTCCCTCTTACTGCATGTTTTTAATAGTGTTTGTGTTCAGGTGCTGATTAGTGTTTAATCATACAGTGTACCTGTTAGAAACAAATTTTAGCTAAACTAAAGCCTCAGGCTACTCCGTAAGCTTCAACAGGAGCATAATTGGGCCCTTAAAAGACTTGTCTTTTAGATTTTATTGACATTATACTTACTTTGACTGATAATGGTAATTTTCTTTAATTTTTATTAAGCAATTTTTCTTTTGTTCTGTTGTCAGCTTTAGGAGCCTCGCAGTGTGTTATTGTCAGAGGGCCTATCAGCTCCAAAAGTACTGTTTCATGGAAGCGTTGCATATGCTGTGGGGATTTAAAGAGCAAGATGTAGTGGTTATTTCATTCACGGTAGATGAGATCAGTAGAGAAACAAGGATGAAAAACAAGCTGTGTGAAGATTAGCAAGGGACTGTGGGTCCAGCAAGACTGTGAGAAGGAGGAAGGTGCAAGGGTGTATAACCAGTGGTGGTGTACTTTAAAGTAAGGGGTTTGAAGTGGAAATAAAGGCAGTGGGGGAAAACAATAGATGATTTGTTAGAGGAAAGTAAGAAGCAGCTGATTTTGTGATAATTTGGACAGGCTTAGGTGTAGCAGGGTAAGATGGAGTGTACATGGTGCAATGGCATTTTCATTAATGGGACAAATTCTGCTGGCATTGTCAGAACTTCCAGATGCAGGAATGGCGGGATGTTGTTATTGTCATCCATGGTGTAGACAGTTTATAGTTAAAAACAGATTGAAAAGGTTAGGGATAGGGAAGAAGAAGGAGAAATATAGAAATATTGTTATAACCATTAGGAGCCCATTACAGTGGATTTTATGTACTGTAAATTATATGCTCACAAAGATTTATAAATTGAATATGCCATATCGTAAAGATACAACTTGTAATAATTGTCAGTTAATAGCTATAAATTATGGGCCAAATTTTACCTTCATGTATAATTTTAAAGGCTCTCATTAACATCACTGGATTATATATTTTAATAAGGATTTAAATCTAAGATTATATAGTTATTTTTACATATTCTTATTAAATATTGACTTGGCACCAATATATGGATGCCTTTGCAGAAATAAGCCATTAAACCAGAATTGTAGCTCTTACTCTTACTGTCTAAAGCCCTGATGTTTTCTCTGGGTTTGATCCAGGAGTTTCCAAGAACTCCACATCTGGGACCAAGAGTTCAAACTGGTTTCCTGCAAAACTGGTTACCTGGATCAGGGCCAGAATTCTTAGCATTTTGCTTAAATTCCCCTTCTCTTTCTGAGGAAGGATCCTTCTTGTGTGGTTTCTGCCTTATTTTTAAATTAATTTCAATACAGCATGTTTTCTTTTTTTGCTTTTGATAGAATATTTTGCAAAATATTGAGTTATTTTTAAATTAATTTCAATACAGCATATTTTCTTTTTTGCTTTTGTAAAATATTGAGTTCAGTAGTGGGTATATATTCTTGTGACCACTTAAAATTCACTCACAGAAAAATAACAGTAGTTGCCCTGAATAGGTAGGTATGTTAGTTATTTAATGGCAACTATCACATTATAAAAATTCTCATACATGGATTGATTGATCAAAGCCTTAGCTGTTTTCCAGTAAGCATCAGCATTTCGTGGAGATTAATACGAAGAAAAAAATAAAAATAAATATTTTCTTTGGATTCAATAATAGCGAATTCTCCTCACTTTAATGCAGTGAAAAGAGTCCATTTAAGTAATCATTAGAAATCTTTATTTTAATGCTTAGATGTTAGCTAATGGAGCTTAATCATACTTTCAACTGGGGCAAAACTGTGACAAGGGCTCAGTTGCTGTGAATGATGCTGTATAAATAAAGATGATTACTTTAATGCACTGAGCAAATAATATTTCTCTGAATCTTGGTAGTGGTGAACATGAAGGAAGTCGGCGGATGAAAACAGAATTACTGGTGCAGATGGATGGCTTGGCCCGATCTGATGATCTTGTATTTGTTTTAGCAGCTTCCAATCTGCCATGGTAAGAGATCCAGAGAGTACATTTTGAATACATTTGCATGAGCTTCTAAGCACAGATAAAGATTTTATTTAGACTTTTGCAGAAAAGCCTTGATATTTGGTTAAAGCATTTAAAGATTAATTTGGAGCTTTTACTTTTAAACTCTACAATTCTTGCTATTTGTGCCGCATGAGAATAATCCATAATAAAGTCAACATATGCTGATGCTACCAGCTGCTAATATTAAAAATTGAGTATTTGAATCTATATGCAAGTTATTTACTATGTTTAAGCTAAGAAGGGTTTCAGCCTGGGACTGTAAGGTGCTTAAAGCATTTAGCACTTAGAAGGATACTCCACAAATAGGAATGCTGGGTTTTATTGATATGAAATGTGACTTTTAAAAGTTGAGGGACAAAATTATTCAGTTTCTTTAACATAATTTAGAAGAGTAAACTCTGTAAGATTGGAACTAGGGCACCTCATCACGTTGGTTCTCAAAGTGGGCAGGATGTGTGTTGAGAACAAGACAGATGGAAGAGGATGAGGGAGGGAGGTGACATTTGTAATGTAACAACTGTGGATGCTGAGTGGAGTCCAACGGCCAGCAGAAAATGTCCAGCTCATGTGCTGTGCTTGAACAGTTTCTCCCATGGCCCCTGTCAGAGTCAGCATGTTGATCCGGCTTGATCATTCATCTGAACTAGTGTAGTGTATCTTTTTCTTTCATGGAAAACATTATCAAATGGTTGCCAGTTGTACATGGGGAAAGCAATGGCTGTTGGTTAAGCACAGCTATTTTTAACAGTCTTGGTTTGTAGCTCATTAATAATTTTCCAGAGTAGAAGCCAACACCTGTACAGGGAATTTAAGCACATTTGTGATGGGCTTTCTTTTGAAGTTAGTTTTCATAGGTCTGGAATTAGTTAGTGGATTTCTGCCTGCCCCAAGATTCCCCCTGTCCCATGGGCTACCGATCCATGAAATCTTCAGTAGAAGATCATATTTTCCTACAGAGAAATCTGTGCGTTGAAAGCAGAGAGGGGGAACCTCATCAAATTAAACTTTGAAAATTATGCCTGGTGAGGGACAGTCTTGGATGCAGATGCCTGCAATAAAGGTGAGTTAGGCATAAGAATGATTTTCTTCATCCTTTCCCTGAAGTATACATGAAGCAGAGAAATATAAGGTGTCTGCTGGGGGCAGACTAAATGGCTAACGTTTTTGCAGTCTGATGGTCATCATTGCACTGAAGTCTTCCTTGATATCCATGTCCCTAAAGACACTGAGACCTAAGTGGGCCTATTCACCTCTCACATGTACAGGTGTTCAAGCTAGCAGTCTGAAAAGGAGAAGACAGCAGTGCTGTTTCCAGGGAACTTCAAACCGTGGCCTGTGAGACATTTGGTGGAGCCCAGTGGTGGGTGCTCCCAGGAATGAGCTTGTGTGAGCGGCGGCTCAGCCGCGTTTCAAGTGGTGATACCTGAAATTCGACTGACAGGCCCATTGTTCACTGACATGTCACTCGCTCAGCTCTGCGGTGTGACAGCCACAGAGCAAGGCATCCAAAACTGGCTGGGAGTAAGTGAGAGCTCTGCACCCACAAAACCACAGGCTTCATTCTGGGATTGTTTTTCATGATTAGTGGGTTTTGGCAGATTTTCATGAGGTTGCCATAGGGAGATGTGTTGGAAAAGCCTCTCTGTGACTGGAGGTTCTCTGGGCTGTGATCAGCAGGCTGTTACTAACCACAGGGAATGTCCAAGTCTGAATGACACAGTATATGTATCCACAGCTGCTTGCTTTTGAGTAGTTACAAAAAAACCTTAACCCCTAGTGCATATTTTATCTTGTATAACGTACAAATGCACCTCTTGGTCATGACACACCACCTGATGTTTTCTCACAAAGTTTTTGGTAATTCTTTATTCCTCTTCTCAGATGTCCCCCATTTTGCCAGGCCTGGCTGAAAGGCCAAGGGGACAGGCAAAGAGAATTAAACAACAGAAGTGATTTTGGTGCCTCAGAATTGAGGCCCAAAGGTAATATTTTCTGTTGGTCTCATGTGGCCTGTTTACCTGGCCCATTTCAAAACGAGTTGGTGCTGAGAACCCTGAGTCCTTCGGAGACGCAGGAGGATGTGGGTCCCCAAGTCTCCATGGCTCTGTGGAGCACTCTGCCATACAGTATTGCCCTAGTTGGTCATCTTTCATGAACTTTGTGGGCAGTGTTCACATCACATAATTTTGGCAGCTAAGGTAGAAGGCAAATTTCCCCTGCTATGAGGCAGTCAACAGTGAAACAAGAGACGCAGCAGTTCAGAGCAATCGAGAGACCCACAGGTGTCAGTGCTGCTTAACATCTTCACCAGTGACTTGGATGATGGGACAGTGCACCCTCAACAAGTTTGCAGATGGTGCAAAACTGCGAGGAGCCGTTGATAGGCTGGGTTGTGCTGCCATTCCGAGGGACCTCAACAGGCTGGAGGAAAGAGCCCACAGGAATCTCATGAAAGCTCAAGTGCGGGTGAACAAACACTGGCACAGGTTGCTCAAGGAGGTTGTACAGTCTCCATCCTTGGAGATGCTCAGAACCTGACTGGATGTGGCCCTGAGCAACGTGCTCTGTTTGATCCTGATTTGAGACTGGAGTTGGGCTAAACGACCTCCAAGAGATGCCTTCCAACTTTAGCCATTCTGTGATGCTGTAAATCAAATCAGAGGTCTAATCTAGGTGCTGTGAAAGTAATTCAGAGTATTTCTTCTGAATGTAAGAAAGCCTCAGGGGTGTGGCCTTCTAAGTTAGGCATAGAGGCACAGTTGCTGCATAAAAACAGGCAGTGTGTTACCCTTCAGTGTCCCTCATGACAATTAGATAAATTAAAATAAGTGCCTAAGGACTCACTTGAGAATTACACAGTTATTCTCTGATGTAAAGGCTGGAGTTTCTGTCCGTCATGGGAAGAGATCCAGTCCACCTCCTTCTAGAAGTCTGTCTTTCCCCCTACATTTTCTGTCCTAGTGCAGAGCCTTATGTTTCCCATACAGTCAGGGAAGGATGCTCCTGAGTGCCACCCGGCAGACATCTTACCTGCTCAAATTCAAGTGCCAAAGTGGCAACATATTCAGAGGCTTTCATCTGCTTCTCTCTATGGCCTGCCCAGGGCTTTCAGGCTCTTTAGGTAGGAGAATGGTTGTGCGGGCACTTAAAATTTATGTAGAAGTTAGATGCACAAGTTAGGCTGGTTCCTACCCTGGCCTGACCATGTGAGTACAAAGCCATCACTGGCTTTTATAGCCATAATAGCAGAGCCTGTGTGTTGGTTTGGGGGATTTATGCCTTGGACAAACTCATGAATTTAAATCAGTACAAAATCCACCCCATTTTATATTACAGTATCTACATGAAAGGAACTGAGCAGAATTTGATTTAATTATGTTCTTGTTGTGTAAGAAAATGTTGAAAAATAAATAGCTACTGTATGTGTAAACAATTAAGTTTGAAAGAGTATGAATACATTAACAATCCATTTGTCTTTTTACGGTTCATTAGTAATACACTATATATGTTTGTTATTGGAGCACTGTTACTCTGAGCAGTGCGTTACACCTTTCTGTGGTATTTTAAATTATCCTGTGACTAGCTAAGCTTCACATGTAATGCTGCAGCATGGCAGCATTAAAAAGGATTAGATGTCTTTAGAGGATCCATGTCTTTCTACTCTTGAACACTGGTTTGAAAGGAAAAATTGGATATTTGAAAACCACGGAGGAAGAGTTCAGAGATGGCAACTGATTTGAAGGCCACTGTGTGGCTGGTGCTGGATCTGGGGATCTTGGAGATGTGTTAGTGTAAGTATGAGGCTGACCTCTTTCTGCATGCTTCTGCTGAAAGAGATTCCTGCGTGTGTCTTGTTACCGTGTGTCTGCCTAATGCAACCAATACAGTCTTCCCGTAACGTCATGCAGAACACGGTTTTGAGTGCTTTATGCATTTGATTTTGGATCATTTTGCAATACCAAAGTGCTGATTTCTGCAAAATTAGTCATTTGAAACATCAGAAATGACATGGCTTTTTTAAGGTAGATCCAAAATGACAAGATTTCTGTTTTGGGGGAACTGCTCCCGCCTAAAGCTGTCAGTCTCTGTTGGTACAAAGGTGGCAGCTGAGCCATTGTGAGAAACCAGCTCCGCTTTCTTATACCTGAAAGCTCAGAATTTCCTTTTGGACTTTCTCAACATTGCTCATGGGCAGATTGGATTTTGTCCTCTCTTAAGCAAATCCAACCTATGAGTGTAATGACTGGGCTGTCTTCCAGAAATGTGCCTACTGCAGATAATATGCTTTAAAATGAGGCTGAGTACATGCTTAGAAGGGTGTTTTAGTGGGATGGAAATTATTTAGTGATAGCTGTGAGCATCTTACATAGTCACTGAGGCTCACAGCCTCTAGGAATTTGGGAGTATCTGCTTCCAGAGAGATCAGCAGGATTTGAATCCCCTTTAAGATCTCAACTAATACTTCTACAGAATATTTTTATGTGTATTAGGTGACATGCAAGACCCCAGACTTCAGCTGCATAGGGATATTTCATAACAAAGTTTCAGAATACCCAGTATTGCAGTCCGAGGTTGTGGCTTCACAGCACAGCCCTGTGTTCTTGCAAACATTTGGTATTAAGCTGGATTTCAAGAGATTTGTTTAATTTGGATATTTATTGGTCATGAAAAAAAAATTACTACCGAGCTGCTTTTAGGTGAATTAAAAGAAGCCTAAACAAAGCTCTTTACACTGTCCTAAACTGCACTGCGGCTATTGATCTTCTCTTCAGCCAGTCCCTGCTGCCCAGCCTTGCTTCCTGCTACTCATCAAGGCACTTCCTATTAACATATTACTTGTTTAAATGATTCGATGTAATTAAATAAAATAACGGCCTTCTGAGTGAAGAAATAAAGTGATCCTTAACCACACAGTGAATGTTTCCTAATGTACTAGTGGATTTAATTTGACTTCCATTGCACTGCTGCTTGCTTCTCCCTCCCCAGCCTCAGGGTGGAGGAAGCTTTGGTGCAGGCTGACAGACTCTTCCCTTCTCTGGGAGCCGAGTCCTGCTGCAGCCGTGAGCACAAGGCCAAGATGAGTTCAGGAAGAGGTGGGTTGCAAAATCCAGGTCAGATCTGGGATTACCCTGTAGTCAGTCCTTCACTCTCAGCAGTGCACAGTGTGTATGGTGGAGGAGAGCAGGAAGGAGAGATTGGAGGAAGACCATGTGGGGAAGCCCTGAAAGGAGCAGAAGACGCGGAGTGAGAACAAGCCCTCAGCTTGTGGGGGCTCTGCCCGGGCCTGTGCACAGGAGGGTGGGAGGTGGGAGGGTTGAGAAGCTCGCTCATTCTTGGTGCCTTTTCCTCTAGAGCACAGCGGTGATGATTGCACTAGGCAGGGATTAATTATGAACCAGTCAGCCCTTGTTGCTGTTTCTGGGTTCACCTCTGGAGTTGTTGAGGTCTCTTAATTTCTGCCTAAAATGCATTTGCTACCATTCTGGAAATGAAAATAAGTGTTTGTCTAGTTTATCTTCATTAAATTTGGGAGTGATAACATGATAGCTCCTGATGTCAACCTGTGAGAGCTCCAAAAAGTCACCTGCTCTTACAGGCCCTGTACAGCTTTGTGTATCCTTTCATGAACATTTCATGATACTTTTATAAGCTATTGTTTCAGAGAATATTTTGGTTGGCTTGGTGCTTATTGTTCTGTTGTCATTAATGTCACTTAACCTTGCATTTGATCACTAACAAAACAACTTGGCAAACAACCTAAACACTTAAGATAGCAAAAAGATTATGTCTTTATTTTCCTCTTTAGCCAACAAGCAGGGACTCTGTAACCTTTCTGGATAAATAGAGCAACTGCTGTGCATCAGCAGACTTACTTACAGAACATGGCTAGGGAGCTCATGAACCTGTCATCTTGGGGGATACCCAGGAGTGCTCTGAAGCAGGAGTAGTGGTGGAAAATGTCATCATTTAGAGGATTTGTAGGGTATTTGCAGAGTCTCTGGCTGTGGTTCCCTGCAAGGGTGGTTTAGAGTACCTGCATGGGCACCTCTGAAACCCTGAGAAATTCTGCCCTGTTTACAGTGAGGATGGTAATATGGGTAAATAACAGCCAAGGGGTTGGTGAGACAGAGAGTAATTATTTCCAGCCAAGCGAAGCAATTTAGAGAAGTTGAGATGAAAAATACTTTTGGAAGGAGAGTGGGGATTAGCATGGTTCTTTGTCTGGTCTCGATGGGACCCTGTGCGAGAGGCTTTGCACTGAATGTTGGACAGCATCTTAAACAGCCTAAAAATATCAATAAGCCAACAGTCTTGCTCAGCAAACTCTGGTATTTACTTCTGAGGACTAGATTAGGAGGACTGGAATGGATCTGAGTGAATTCCTGTTGTTCTCCGAGTTCCTATTGATCTGGCTTTCCAATCTTTGCTTTCATTGCCCTTGGCTCAGCACATGTGGAACAAGCTCTCCCAGACCAAGAGGTCCTTCCTGGGGAGAGGGACACTTATGCTCCCTCTGAGCTGAGAGCCAGGCATGCTGAGGTCTGTGGAAAACCTAGGCAGGCACCTAGCTGCGGATTTGGGAGATGATTTTTGATTTTCTTTCTCATGTGTTGTGTCAGTAGAAAACAATTGCTATTGAAAAATAAGAAGTCACCAAAGGTGACAGAAATGTGCTCTGTTGGTGTGATACAGGTCTATCATGAGCCAGCTTTGAGCTCCCTGTAAATTAAGGAGGCGTTTCATACAAGAAGCATTGCTTGAATGTTGACTTTGCTGGCAAAAATATTTCACCAGGGAATCAGGATAGGTAGAGGCAGGCTTATTTAAGTGTAGTTATGGTCCCAGATTGTAGGTGCAGTACTCCAACAGCTCAACTGAGAAGGGTGGAAGTGGTGCTTAGGGGTCCTGTTTTTCTGCCTACACAACACACGTGGAATTGAGTTTCCCCTTGATAAGAGTTTCTTGGCAGATTTGAGGACTGAATTATATTTTAAACTGAAATAACAAGTCTGTGACTGAACGAGGCCGGTAGAGAAAGATTGGTACAGCACTTGGAAGGATAATAGCTCAGAGCAGTTCCTGTAAGGCACTAGAGACTTACAAGTGAGTAAATATTCTGTAGCAGCTATTTCTTCTTGAAAATTGTATGAATGACTGGGGTACTTGTAGACTGTTCCCATTACACAAGTGACAAGGGAGGAACTGGAGTAGGAATTTGTATTCAGTTGTTTGGTTGTGTTACCGTTAGATGCAAACAACTGAAAAGCACTTAGGGAAAAAAAAACTAGATTAAAATGAACTATTTAGATGTGTGTCTGTCCCAACCTGGAAAAGTCCAGTCAGGGGAGATTCGTTGTTATTCCCAGAGTGAGATTAAGATCAAACGAGGTCAAATGCCATAAAGAAAAGAAGTTTATTAGTTACATCAATATTTGCATAGATGCAAGAGAGAGAGAGAGAGAGAGAGGGAAGAGAAAAAAAAAAAAAAAAGGAAAGTAAAGATGCAATAGCTACCACCACGGAGCTGAGGCATCCCGTCGGTCTGAATCGGCTTCACGTCAGGTGGAGAATTCCATTGGATGCTGGTTGTCACGGCTCTTATATTGAGGTGTCGTCGCTCCTCCCGAGGATTGGTTGGCATATCCCAGAAACTGCCTTGTTCGCCCTCACCCATCACTCGGCCGTGGTGCACATGCCCCACACCGACTCTATGGGGGCGGCTGTTTCAGGGTCTTTTTTCTGTCCCCGGGTCTGGGCGCATGCGCAAGGGTAAGGTTGTCCATATGCACAGGTTTTCCGGGAAAGGTTTGGGGATTTCTAAGAAATCATTTACGTGCTCTGTCAAATGTGGTGGTGGTCGTAGGGTGTCCTTTGGTGCTCGACTGATGAAGGCTCAGCGTCTTCCTCCTGATTGAATGCTTGACTTTAATTGGATTTGCATCCTCAAGTGCTTCAAACTGGTCTAACAGGATTGATGCAAGCTCAGGGTCTCTCTATCTTATCTCCAAGGTTGTCCTGCTTCCTTTATCTTCAAGGATGTATTGTTCTTTGAAGTGTTACATGGATGTCCAGGCTTATGGAGGTGTAGCAGTTTCTGTGACTATGTTTGCTAAAGCATTAGAAACTTAGTAGGAGGTGGGGTGCTCCAACAATGCTGAGGCAGACATCCGCTGGTGGTTTCGACGGCGTCCAGCAATGTTGAGACAGACATTCATTGGTAGAAACATCTTTTAGACACAGTCCTTTACAGTGTCCGAGAGGAGCTGGCATGCTGGGTGTACCAGGACTCCTGACACTTCACAGAATCTGTGGTACTGGCAAGAGGGACTACTAAATGGTGATGAAAACCATTGAGAAAGGAACAGAAACAAACATTCATTTTTCTTTCAAGCTTCTTTTGTGTGTCACAAGCAAGAATGAAGAGTAGTCCCAATACTTTGTATTTTACCTTTTTTTAGGCAAAACATCTTTATCAGTGTTGATGTTGACACTGTCATGGTTTTTGGCTCACTGACACATTTATCCAAACGGTCCATCCTTCACATGATCCTTTTTGTAAGGATATTTTTTTCTTTGTGTCTGTATTATTTATACTCTGTATTGCAGGAGCAGTCTCAGATCAATGTCGTGTTCTGCCATAAACGGCCTTTGCATCCAAGACCTTCAGTTTGCATTTTATACCTATTAAGCATCCCTTACAAAGTGGCAATTAATTAGTCCTGACAGCGCCCCCAACAGACAATTTGTAGTGTCTCCTTAATAGCAAAGGGAGAAAGGGAAAGGTTGTTACTGATGAGACATAATGCAGATGAGTACCAGAGCCTTGGAAGAGAAGTACAATTTCTGATTGCTATTGTTAAGCCTCATTGTCACAAGCCAGTGTACTGCTAACTTACTGAACAGGAATACACTGGATAATTAACCCTTTTTTTTTTTTTTTTTTTGTTGTTGTTTTGGGGTTTTTTTGTTTTGTTTTGTTTTTGTTTGTTTGTTTGTTTTTTGTTGTTGTTGTTGTTGTTGGTTTTTTTCCAGAATTAGATTGTCAGAGTTGCAGATAGGGTTGAAAAATGTCACTCCCCACAGCAGGGAGCTTGCTGTCAAAGCCACATCTCCGCAACGAGGCATGCTGAGACGATTCCTCTCCTCCTTTGCTTGCAGGGAGTTGGACTCCGCCATGCTGCGGCGGCTGGAGAAGAGGATTTTGGTTGACCTCCCAAGTAAAGAGGCACGGCGGGTGATGATCCAGCACTGGCTGCCCCCTCTGAGCAACAGCGGAGGAGTGGAGCTGAGAACAGATCTGGAGTACAGCTTGCTGGGCCAGGTGAGACGGCGCTGCGGCAGGGACGGTGCCCACTGGTGCTCCAGGCCTGTCTGGGTGGGAGCCACCAGCACGAGTCACACACGTCACCCACAGCAGTGGGGTTATGCTGTGGCAGAATTGGTCCAGAGGGTTGGGACAGACGTACGGGGCTGTGGGAAGGACCTCGGCCCGGTTTGAGGCTCCGGCCAGAGGGAGACCCGCGAGACACGGGGCTGAGCATGTCAGAGGCACGTTCCTGGCCGTGGAAATCACCGTTTTCACGCAGCTCTGCTTGCAAAACAGTGTATTCCAATCCTCTCTGTTGGGCCAAGTTTTCAGCCTTAAATACAGGGAGATTTCCAGCAACAGTATATTTTATCACTCTTCTCACCAAGCTGGGAGCACTTCCAATTCATCGGGGTAATGAACAGTTAATTGTGTAGGGAAGGTTTGTCACAGCTCCACTGCTGCAGGAGAAAAGAGCATTTAGACAGTGAAGAGATTCAACAGATACCACACTTTCTTCATTTAGGCCTTTGTCACATCCTAAATTCTTTGAAAATATCTTACAGCTTACCCAGTTGGCCCTTCTTATATCTGTTCACAGAGACAATACTGCTCAGTTTTTGTTTCATAAATGTTAATAAGGAAATACAGTTACTTGATTAACAGGAAATCCAGGAACAGACACACAGAAAGGCAGGTTTTATCTGACCTATGGAAAATTGCCCTTTAGAAAGAAATTGCCCAGTATTTTCCTTGCTCCTATGATGTACTGTGGGCATTCAAAACAAGAACAAGCAACATAATGTTGAGGGGAGAGTACACCTAAGAATATGTATGTGTATATAGGTACACATAGATGCCTAATTTCAGACAGGAGTAGACTTGACAAATATTTTAGGTAAAATATTTATGCTTGTAAACACCATTTCTGACCAAGGTGTAAGGCTGTAAATTGTAATGTATCGTTCTGATCCCATCGCAGGAGACAGACGGGTACTCCGGCTCAGACATAAAACTCGTCTGCAAGGAAGCGGCCATGAGACCCGTGAGGAAAATTTTTGATGCTCTTGAAAATCATCAGCCAGGTACCACAGCTCTGAGTAGTGAATCCGGTCTGGGAAATGCTGATCTGCTGCTGTAACTCAAGAAATTAGAATGTTAACCCCAGCAGGTGGAGCTCTGTTATCTGCTTAGAAAAGTTTTAAACTGTGCATTTCTGAAACCTCTACCGAAGCAAACATTTCTGAAAATTGGGTCTTTTTTTAAAGCTGCCAGTATCTATGCTCTACTCAAAAATATGATTTTTTCTTTATCCCACTAGGTTTATCCTTTTGGTTCTGTATATTAACTGTTGCATTAGGTAGGGACATAAAAGAATGTGTTTCCATAATAGTAACAGTATTTAATCAATTCTCTTCTCTTTAGGCAACAGTAATTTACCCACAATCCGATTAGACACGATCACAACAGCAGATTTCCTGGATGTGATGGCCCACACCAAGCCATCAGCAAAGAATCTAAGCCAGAAGTACACAGCTTGGCAGAGAGAATTTGAGTCAGTTTGAGAAGAAAAACCTCAAAAGATTGACAACTTCCAAGACTTTTGCTATCCAAAATGGCATCGCCTTGCCTCCAAAGGATTGAGTGGTGATGGGGAGAAGTTCTGCTGTTTCCAGGGAAGCAAATGCAGTGAGAAATATCAGGGGGAAATCTTCACTTTCAGAATTTAATGGCGGGGAGGGGTGCTGTTTGGTTATTTTTTATTAGCCATTTTAAATGACCATTCAAAAAACGTTCTTCGTGGAAATAATGTAATGACATTTGCTATGTCATGAAGACTTCGGCCTTAATTTTATGTATAAAGACTTAAGAGATTGCTTGCTTGTCAGTCTTTGTTCATGACAGTTCTTTACAGGTTTGGGGTAGAACAGGTGCAGAAAGCTTGTTCAGAACAGTTAGATGGCTGGTGTGAATCTCCCCTTCTGAGACTCACTAGAGCATCACAACCACCACAGCTTTACCAGCAGAGACCTGCACACTTTTTATGAAATGTAAATCAGTGCTGTCAGTGAAATTCAGGTAAATTTGTCAGGTTAGTTTGCCATCATTTTCAGCTGAGATCAAAGCTTTGACATGCCAAATGCATTACTTTACTTTCCAGCTGGTTTGGGGTATTTCCAAGGTAGAAAAGGCAAGGAATGAGAGGAACTTGGAGACATTGTTGAAAAGCAGCAGGCTTAGGCTAATCTAACTAGGAACTGGATGGGTGGTTACCCGCTGGTTTGCAGCCAGCCATAAAATGCAAACAGCGAGTCCTTGCAGCGCAGGGGTAAGTACGACCCAGATTGGGGATTTCTGATTAGAGACATGGCCAGGTAGGCAGTCAGGACTGCCACGTTTCCTGCAGTCTTTTAATCAGAAGTTCTAATCAGTCATTTTTTTCAGGTCTTCCTGCCCCTCTCCTGCCCTCCCTCTTCCTTGGCAGCAGGGTTTTCCTTGCACGGGCTTGCGTGCAGCTGCTTCTCCGAGTCCCACGGTCTCGCAGGCACCCAGCGCTGCGGGACCTCGGCAGCAGCGCCGCTCCCGTTGCCAGAAGTCTTTACAGGCAGCGTCTTCACAGGACTTTGCTTACCGCTCTCCCACCTCCGCACCCGACTCTGACCAGGGGCCAAAGACATCCCCCATGCACTCCCAGCAGAAACCAACAGAGGTTCAGAATTGTTGCCATGAACACCAGACGTGTGAGTTTATTCAAAACCGTCGGTTATGATTTACAAGGGCACATGAGAAGTATTTAAAGACAGCTTTTGTTCCTGGGGAGGGGGGTTTATTGTTCCTTGTACTCCATCCACACGTTCTGTCTTGGGCAGAGAGTAAATCTGAGGGTAGGAAACTGCCCACCCTGTCCACGACTGCTGATCGACACTCTCATGTAAGGAGAGCTTCCCATTCGTTCATCACAATGATTTTTCTTAACGAGAACGAGCATGGCTCATTAACACAAAACTGTATTTTCAATAAGGTTAATACTCCAGTAATGTATAATTACAACCAAATAATTTAACACTCAGGAGCACTGTAAAACAACTGTAAAGGACTTTGATTATTACAGTTTACAAATGGACCAGAAAAGCTATTTACCATCATTACAAAGTTGGTTCATACCGGTGGATTTAGCACACAGGAAAAACATTGTGTACTATGGAATTAAATTTAATTTTACAGCTCTACTAACAAACTGTGTAAAAACTGGAATCTGTCCCCATGGCTTGTGAAGGATTTTTCCCATAACATTAAAAAGAAACAAAAAAACCCAACAATAGTGAGATTTTGCAACTGTAGCACTAATAGGACCCTGCTGAAGTCCAATTTCAAAAATTCAGAGTCTCTAAGGCATTTAATACCAGATTTTTGTTTCTTTACCATTCTTTTTAATAACAGCATCTAATTAAAACATCTGTAAAATGCTGACAGTTTTAATTTTATGTAAAATTTGAAAAGCAAAACCCAGGATTTGTTCTAGTGAGAGGAAAGATACCAACAGTAGTTATTATTAAACAACGGTAATATTTTAATTTAAAAGTAACTTCTAAACGTGCATAATCTCTACCTTTAAATTAAAGCAGAGATACACTCAGTGTAATCACTACAGGCTGACTAAGGCTCCTTTAATCTTTGAGATTTATTTACCCGAGTATTTCCAGTGGGTTTTGTCAGTTTAGCTTACTCAGCAGAAGAACCTGACACTTCTCAGAGAGTGATTTTCATCAGTTATTCCTTGAAAACTGAAAATAAACAGAACTCCCTGCCCTGTGCCATTCAGGAAAGGGGCTGTGCTGGTTGTCACCTTTCTGTCTCACCAGCTAGGGAATCCCTCCTCGCGTCCTCATGAAAGACTCCAGGAAAGGGGTGCCGGGGCCCACCCCACCCCCCGCCCCGTCACGACTCGAGTGGAAGGAGCTCACGGCTAGGTTTGCGATGCATGCACTGACTGATCCTGTGACCTTAATTTTTGAAGCAAGAGTAAAGGAAATGATACGCCGCGGATGTTTCTCCCAACTAGCTACTCCCTTTCTCACAGCAGATGCTCTAGGATGTGTTCCACTGCCTCTGGGAAATTCTCACAGGTTAAGTAAGGAGCTGGATTGATTTTGTCTTCATCTGCCGGTCGATATTTACCTGCAACAGATTAACAAAAAGATGCATTTACCAAGCTCCTCTGAATATCCCTTTTTTCCATGAACATTACAGCCTCTGTGGATCAGTTACAACCAGACACGGTAGGAGAAATGCTCATCTGCAACAACCCTCCCAGAAGTCTTCCCTAAACAAACACCGAGCCTCGCTGCAGACTCCTCCAGGTTCAAAATTAGTGCTACTCCACTGTACTGGCACTATTTGCTCACCAACTATTCAGATATTCATGTTGTATGTTCTTGAAATATTCATGCCATCATCTTTCCCTCTGGCTCGTATGAGGAGGAGCAGGATTGCTTGCTTTCATTTTCAACATAATGGACTGTGTGGCATGAGCAGCTCCCACCTCAGAAAGACCTTACCCAGTCCACGGTACCATCAATAACACTGATAATACCTGTCAGTCCCTTAAGGTTCCACTTCTGTCTGAAGCAAAATTACTTCTATAATTACCAGTGTAATTACTGGGGAATGTCACCAGAGTTCCGGAATGATCAGAGGTTACATTGCTAACACTGGTTTTGACAATCTAAGATGTTGCAGTAACAGTTCTGTTCTTTGTTTGGTGCTCAGGATTTTAAGCATGATTAGAGCAAAAAACTTCACACCTACAAGCTCATCTGCCCCCATCTATTACTTTATCAGTTTGGGGTCTGTGCTCTAGCCCTCTTGTTGAAGCATTAAATATAATGGCTTACCAATCACAATCTACTATGTGACAGGCTGCCGCGCTGCAGCTGAGGAAATGCATCTGCTGAACTGACCCCAAAATGCACGGGGTGATGGACTTGGGGCCCCCAGGGCAGGATCACCGAATGTCCCACTTTCTCCCAAAATGACGGCTCCATCGAATACTTACCAGTCCGTACCAAAATCCCACGCATGCCCGCATTCTGGGCGCCACCCACATCATCCCTGCAGTCCTGGGACAGAACAGGATGGCTGGTTAGTGGTCACAGACGCTTTCTTAACAAGCTTTTCATAACATTTTCAGCTTTGCCCATCACTAACCAGCCACTTAAAAGCAGCTGGAGGGAGTCAAATCGTTTACCTGCCTATTAGACAAACTGCCACAGGCATGATTTACTACGTTGCTTTTTACCTGATCAAACAGCGACTGAAATAAGAGAACTAAACCTGTGGACTACACATTAAATCCTGCGAGTTCTGACGGTTCAATTTTCACCCCTCGTTTAACCCCAGCGCTTTCAGAAAGGGCAGTTCATGGCACGTGGGAGGCGTTACACACGGCGGAGGTGAGCTCTACGTTAACGGGCGGGTGAGAAGGTACTTGGGGCCCCACGTACGTCACCAATCATGACGGCCTCCTCTGGGGCACAGTCAGTCCCCCGCAAAGCTTCCAGGAAGAAGGTTTTCTCTGGCTTCCCCACCACTGTCGCTCTGGTGTCCGTTGCGTATTCCAGCCCAGCTACAAAAGGCCCAGGTCCCAGAGCCAAGCCATCTTTTTTCTTGAAATATCTGGCTTTATGTATAGCTATAAGAGGAGCACCATCCAAAATCAACCTAAAGAATGAATGAAGAAAGTATAAAAATTATATTAAAGAAGCAGTACTTAAAGCTGAAGGCCTCACCTGGCTTTCATTTAAGTTGATGACAGAACTCCCACTGAATTTCATTAAGCCCTACGTTATAATGCAAGCTAGCATTCAGTTGGAGAGTTAAATAAAGTTCATTCCCTTCTTTTCCTCAGAAACCGCTAATAAAACACATCCCCCAAATAAAGAATGTATTATCTTGAGGATTTTAACAGGTAACTATTTTTAAATCCTGTCTCCATCTCTCATGGAACTAGGTCCATTCCTCTAAGCAGCCTCACTTTTTACTAAGGCGAACATCCTAACATTAGAACAGATCTGATTTCCCCACGCAAATATTTTAAAATACGTTAACCACAGGTAGTGGCTGCAGGTAACAGTCTGATGGCCAACAGCCTTTATCACCTTGCCTAGACTGAGAACACAGCAGTGCTTGCAGGATGCTGCTGCCAGGAAATCTGCAGCCCAGCAGCTCTGGGGGCTGCTGGTATCACCTCTAACAGCTATGTGTTTCCAGCAGAGATGGGTGTTCTGGTGAATCCCAAGTAGAAGGTGAATCATTTTATCTTAACTTTCTATTTTAATGTTGGAGGAATTACAATCCTTAAATTACTTAAAAAGGCACAAAGATATTAGGCACATTAATTCCCAGCTAACAGCACTATCACTGAGCATTTTAGAAACAAAGCTGGATTTGGGCTCCTTGTTATTGGGAACCAAAAATTCCAAGTGGAATGTAGTTCAAAGCAACAAGTCAACAGATTCCAAATGTTTCGGAGTACAACAAAAGGGTCAAAGAATAAGGGTCATAATGCATGGTATGGTGGCGTTGCAGGGGGGTCTTGGCTGGGTGCAGCAGCTGGGGGCCTCAGGAAGCGAGGGCTGCAGTGTGGTCTGAGTCTGGGAACTGGCCCCCGCCCCACTGCCGAGACCCTCCCACCTTCCAGGGGCCCATTTCTGCCCCAACACACCAGTGTGCACCCTCCTCGGGCTCCACAGACACCACCGCTGCCTGCCAGCTGACCCACCTGTTAAAAACCCGCACAGAACACGGGGTCATCTGGAGCGGGTGGAAAAATGTAAGGCAAGAAGTAACTAAGAAAGCGCTGTTGCTCCACCAATCTCAGTCAGCACCTCCTTAGCCTCGCTGCCCTGTCAATTCACTTCACGTCTGCTTGAGGGCTCCTGTCTTGCAAAACCCTTGTGGGAGGGAGCGCGTCTCGTTAGCACACGCAGTGCCTGAAGAGTGGACCCGGGACAGCACAGTAATAAAGGGGATCTTAGGAGGGCTTGCTTTCACAGCACCCGGACTTCATCTTTAACTTCCATTCCTGTTACCCACCCAGCGGTTCTTCCTTGCAGCGCACACAGCAGCTACCTGTCCTGCAGCAAAGGGAAGCCTGTGTAGCTGCTGCACGAGAGAAATCCTCTGGGTACTGCCCAGCACAGCAACCTTACTGCGGTCTCCCCCGGCCCCAGCCTCAGCGCAACAAAAGCCCTGCAGACAGCAGCTGTACAAGCTGAGGTAATGACTACCAAATGCTTCCCGTGGGATTTCACAGCACCTTCTTCAGGTACTGAAGCAACTCCACTCTTTATCACAACAGGTAGGAATGTAACTAGCAAAGCTGGGGGATGGAGGGGTAACGCTGGCCATTATCTTGAGGGCAGAAACCCCACCTGATTTACCAAAAAAAAAGCCTTTAAGAAAACAAACAAAATACTGGTTTGCCCCTTCACTGCCTTTCTGGAGCTCTGCTGTGGCTCTGCTCAAAGAGGCTGGCTCAGGTGAGTTGTACACTCCTTGGGAGGACGTCTGCTCCTTCCCACATCCTTGCAGAGCAGCCCGGGTGCTCTGAGTGGTACATAAATGACAGTGTTTCATTTCACTTAATTATCACAAAACAATTCTATTGAACAGATGTGTTCCAAAGCAAGCTCAACAAGAGAGCTGATGTGTATCTGTGAGCAGCCAGATACATTCATGATGGGAGGATGCCTCTAGGATACAGAAAAATTTCATTTGACAGAGGCAGCACAACCACTTACATTCAGCGGTTTGCAAGAGAGATCTCACCTGAAAGAATTCTTTTAAATGTGGCATCAAAATCCCATGTATACCAAAAGAGAAATTTAGTCTCAGTCATTTCAAATGGTGCCTAGAGAATGGCCTCACTGTGTACCTCGTTTTGGGACTCGTATGGGGTTAAATTTACCTTACCTAATGTTGGACATCAATGGAGAAGTTGCCTACCAGGTAATTAGTCAGCCTGGGCTCTTCACAGTCAGTGGAGAGGAAAAGCACTTCCAGGGCACAGTTCAACTGTCCTATTTTAAGCACAACTAGGGGAAAAACGTATGATGCCTTACACGCACCTCCTCTCTCCCTCAAGAGCCTGGCTCACCAGCTCAGACACAGGCATCAGCACTGTAGGTATCTGCATTTAATCAGATTCACCTTAAAGTTTTGCTATGGGCAATGAAAATCCCAAGTGACTTAATTATCTGAGCAATAAAGGACAAGGAATATGGATGAGGTATAAGGCTCAAGAGGAAGAGAATGT